AGGTCAGTGAGCTGAGCAGCTGTGGTACAAAGACGGCATCGGCACGCCTATACACAGGTCAGTGAGCTGAGCAGCTGTGGTACAAAGACGGCATCGGCACGCCTATATACAGGTCAGTGAGCTGAGCAGCTGTGGTACAAAGACGGCATCGGCACGCCTATACACAGGTCAGTGAGCTGAGCAGCTGCGGTACAAAGACGGCATCGGCACGCCTATACACAGGTCAGTGAGCTGGGCAGCTGTGGTACAAAGACGGCATCTGGTCTTTGGCCTCTGTCATCTAGTCACAGGTCGGTGACTCGATTATAGCATATTGTGTGTTTCATCTGATGCAATTTTTGTTATTCATTTGAACACAAATTTCATCCTGTCTCTTTTTAGACTCGGTAGCCTTTTTACTTGAAAAAATATTCCAAATATATCGATGCTGCACCCGTGGGTCAATTAGTTTAGGTGCGATAGGCAACAAATTCTCTGTGAAGGACTACAAATAAATTAAGTATAAGAACCTGATACAGGAACACGAAAAGTTACAGTGCAAACAGTTTATCATTTGTGAAAAATTTGAGCACTTGTTACTGGTAGACAAGTACGGTCGATGCGGCTGAATTAATGGTCTTTATATTGACATTTTAATGATCACTAATCATTGCTGATTTATGGTCTTCACAATTCATGAGCTCCAAGTGTATAACTAGCCTGCTCAATGCCACTAAGGTCTTTAATAATTTTATAATATATTTATCATTTTACCACCAACGAAATTATTTAATTATGATGGTTTTTGCCACTGTTATAAAATGCTAGATCATAATGGCGAGACTAGCGCAGATTCATGAGCATTAGTGATGCTTAATGCTAGCAGCATTGGTTTATTGTTATAAATTATTATGCCCTACTCGCAAGCGCTCGTTCATTCAGTCACTAAATTATACAATAACTACCAGCAAATTTTTAAAGTTTATCCTAGATTGAAATAGAACTTAATCACCATCCACGAATTTAATTTCAGATACGAATATTATTGCATTTATTAACGTACTCGATCGTTACCTCTTTTGTTCTCTAAATCTTCTTTTTAAGAAATAGATACGAATTTTTAAATGATGCAGTGTGTCGGCAACTGCTAGGTAAGCAATGAACGCACATATACGGAGCGAGGTCACGTTGCACCCATCAGTAGTGGGCGTACTTTAAAAAATTACTGGTTTGTAACAGTCAGCTAACCACTAACTGTTTCTCGAGTTAAACACACAATTAAATCATAGACGACATATCGGCCGCCACTTGTACTAATAAAGTACTGGAAGTACAGCCCCAGAAATGCTGATCTCAATCGATGACTCCTGGTGATTGAGAGGATTTCAATGCAGATTTTTTTCATGCTATTCATTCCTATGATGTTTCGTGATGAACTGCATCCCCCGCCCGCAAGAATATTTCAACTTATCTACTAACACAAATTTTTTGAGTAAGAAAAACATATCAATCATCATGGATAACCATGATGCATTTATAATATTTCCAATTATGTGTGAATATTTTCAGAGAGCACTTATTGCGTGAAATGTCATTAGATACTCAAGAATTTGATATTATTTGATATTGTGATATTCCTCCAGAAAATATCTTTCTTTCACCATTCAACCAAATTTACGTTCACTCAACGTTGAACATGACAAATTAAAATTCATAGAAAAATCAAACAGAATCAGTCAAGTTTGCTTGTTTTTTAAGCTCATTTTCAAGGTAATGTGATTTTTACATACTTTCCTCATGATGTTTACCTGAAGTTTCTATCAGTTTGTTCTTCGAAGTATTTATTTAGAAGGAGAGTTCAAATAAGAAAATTAACTAAAACATTATTCAATTTAATTGCGACATTTATATACTTGTTCCTGGACGGCGTCCGAAACAAGACCCTCCTTATGTAAAATCTTGATTACTCACAATGGAGGGGTGTATTTTTGTAACATATATTATTTAGAATTGATTTATGTATGAAAGAAAGTATTATGTACACTAAGAAAACATGAGCTTGGGATCACTCACTGAATTATTCATATAATCTCCATTTTCAGCTGTTAAATAAAATAGTTTCTATTGTCTCGACGGTCATGAGTGGCCTGAAGGTCATCCTGTTGAGCCTCAGATGAAAACACTGAATTGTTGTACGGAATATTTAATTATATTTAATTCGTTCAAATCCTTCATACATGTAACATTTAATTTTTGCCAATTGTGTATGAAGAAACATACTGGATGAAACGAGGATGAAACTGGAGGAAGCTTGTCAAGAAGCAGATCATTAGAGTAATAATCATTGGGATGACGTTATAGTGTATAATGCACGCTCATCCACACACATTTGTATAAAGTATAGTGCACACTCATCCACACACATTTATCAGTGCACACTCATCCACACACATTCATCAGTACACGCTCATCAACACACACCTTATGACCTTATGATGAGTTTAGGACGTCGTAGTCCAAGGTCACGCTGATGCGCCGCCTTCATCGTCCTCCGTCTCCGAGTCGTCGTCGGATGTAACGTTGGACGTGTTCCGTCTATTTGCCCTCATTTGGGCACGCTGATGCAAGATGCTGTTGCTTGTCACTTGCTGATGGTAGTTTCCCATTGCTGGACAATCCGGGATCTTTCTCAACCACTTGTCCAGTCGTCTCTTGAATGTTGCAAGGGTAAACTCCCCTCCTCTCAGCGCTTTTGGCAAGGCATTAAAGAGCCTCGGTCCTACCACGGACAGTGATCCCTCACGAAGAGTCTGTACTCTGGCCGCGGCTCAGTAATTAAATGGAGGAATCCTGCACAGTCTCCCCCTTCTTTCGTTGTATTATGTCATTATTTTGAAGGTCTCACTCTCAAAGTTGGGAGCCAGTCCGTTTATCATCTTCCAAGTGTACAGTATGATATACCTTTCCCTTCTTCTCTCCAGTGAGTACAGTTCCAGGTATACTTTGGCTGTTCTAGCTGTTATGGGGCAGACGTTATTGCTTGGGCTAACATCACACACTTCGTTTGTGCTCATTACTTTGGCTGTTCTAGCTGCCACTTGAGATTTATAGTTCAAGGAGTTTCTTACTAGATTTTTCCATCCAACCACTGTACGATTAGGCATACGTCGATATTGATTGATATTTGTTGTTGTTAGTTGTATGAATGTAAATTTTTTATTATTTATAAAATGTTGAGCAGTTGTTGGCGTCAATTTTTCTACAATATTCTAGAAAGGATCTAGAACATTTACTGTATTTATTTATGTATAAAATTCCTTCTAGATTTCCAAAGCCTCAAATCTTCTATTAATAAGAAGACGTATGCTTACTTGGGCAATCAATTAGCAGTTTTCATCAACCGGATTACTTCAGCAAGGAACATCAAAAATTTTATATATTTTTAAAAGATAAAATACTTCGTGATGGAGGAGTTATTTTTTACAGATTGGTCAAGAGCGGCGGCGCAAGAGTATATAATAATAATTTGTGATAGCTGAGTTTTATGTTTTTACCTTTTTTATATTTTTGTGCTATCGATGGTTAGTTTTTTATAATTCACATAGGACACAAAAATTGAAATCACAGTGATAAAGTGAAATAAACTTTGATGGATTCCATGATAAACAATTTTAGCCTGAATTACTCGTAGTAAACAGAAATTAATTTTAAATTATGCTCAGCTTGATAAACCAATCAATAATAATTTGTCCTCAATACAAAAACATAACATTATTCACCTGAAATTATTTACGAGCGATGTGTCACCAGAATGATTTTGATTTTACCGACCATGTATGTTTCTTGATAAAGTAATATTTTGTCCCAGTTTTGCACATCGTCAAACTAAAAACATCAGAAACAACCCTCACCCAGAAACAAATAAGAACCGAGATTCTTTCTCCCAGCGTTTCTGTTATTTCAACGAAAGTCGTTTTCGTTTGCCATTCCCCGTGGAGTTACAAGCTGTTTGGTTTGTAGAAGCTCATGCTGCTCATGAAAATTTCATTCCGTCCTCGGGGAGTGCTGACGACGTGTTCCCACGGAGATCGTCCCGTAAGGTCGTTATGGCTGGGAAAACTTCAATGTTTATGATACGTGCTTCTAGAGTCTACACACACAAAAATATCCCCTGCACCGCTAAGAAATTTTAACTTCAACCTTTATACTCGCGGCAAAACTGATCATTATTTCTTAATTTAGTGTGACACAGATGCGGTCAGACAAGCTTGTGCACGGAGCCTTGTTCGGCTTGTTCTCCTGGAAGCTGTTGATTCATGTAGACATTTATCTGTTATGGCAGTACGGTTCAGATCACTACATTCGTGATGGCGTCAATTGATGAGCGATTCCTACGTAAGACGCTAAAATTGGGGGCTGATGAGCTGTTTATAAACTATTTTACTGCATTTCATTTTAGGCTCGAATTCCGGAAACGTAACTTACACAGTATGTTGTTCGATTCAAGTCCGGATATGATTTTCTGGAGCAGACAAAAATGCACATACCCTCTATATGTCTAAGATTGATTTTCTCAGCTTCCTTTTATAATGAAATTCTAACACTTTGTATGCGGACATTGCACTGTACTGGAAAAACGTGATATAAAAAATTTCCTTTTTCATAGAAATTCAATTTTTCAAAGATTAGCTATCCTATTTAAAATCAATAGAAATAGGATAGCTTAATAGGATATTCTGATGTAATGCATGGCGCTATGACTGTTATTTTATAGACAATGGTCACCGATCGCAACATTTACGCCCTATGATTTAAGCATGTCTAATTTATTGCCTTTCAAGTAAAAACTTTTCATTCTGATGGCAATCCTAACGCCAATATTTGTTATGACTTCATGTAATTAGTAGGAATGTGTTCTCTGCAGACATAAGCCATTCCTTTTGGCTGAAAGCTATGTCAAACGCCGCCAACCATGACGTCATAACTTGAAACTCTGGCTGCCCTGCCGAATAAGTCGACTCTGTTCACTAAGTTCGAGCTTTTGCCATTGGCAAGCATAAATAAATATTTTGAAACGT